AATAAAATGAGTAAAACAGAGTAGGGTTAAACCTGAAAAAATAAACGCAACAAAACAGCGAACGTGTCGGCAGAAAGCCTTCGTCAGCGAACAAAACAACAGAAAAAAACGGTATAAAAATAAAAATAAGAAATAGCACTTAGTTGGTAAGTAGTTGACTTCTATTGCTGCCCACAGATACTAATACTAAAATAAGTGTGCACTCTCCCTTGAAACCATTCAAATAAGTGTGCACCAAGATGCAAAAAAATGACTCCCGTACAAATGAATGACTTGGTACATGTGTCCCCTGGCACTTGTGAGTTCGTACTTCCGTTTGACGGAGGGTCACAGGTCACTTGTCAAGATTTGCCACGTACTGGCTGACAGTGTGCCTGTTCTGTCGGTCATGGTTGAACTGGAAAATCAAGTCGTAGGGGTAGGTAGCCATGGGGCTAGACAGGTCGTCCAACTGTTTCATCTGTCAGAGACATGGGAGAGGGGGGGGGGGCAGCTATCAATGCTACCGTTAATTTTATTTTAAATAAAAATAATAAATTAATACAAATAACACGTGTTCCTTAAAATATTTTTTTTTAAAAAACAGTTTTCACGAGTTACTGAAAAAAAAAACACAAGTTTATTTTTATTTGCTGCCTTCCATTTATAGTCAAACTATAAATTTCATTGTTTAGTTATGACTAAATATTGTAAATTCGATGATTTTTCTGATAAAATGCTTATAAAATTTGGTTCTTAGCCTCGTGTTAAATTTAAATCTGTTTAAATCGTGACCTACTCCACAATATTTGTGGCTTAACATCCAAAGTTACGTGAGAATATAAAATAACGTAAGAGGTTTACCAGCTGCTTTTTTATAATTTTGTGGGTTTGAACCCATTTTATTTTTTGTATTGGGGGGGGGGAGGAGTGGAAGAGAGGCAATTTATTTATAGAAGAGGAGTGGATAAGTTTAAAGCTTTCAGCCGTGACGTAAATAAAGCAAGGTTTCTCTACTTTTAAAATGTTTTTATAAAAAGTTGTTACTGCAAGGGTTCTATACTTCTAAAATGTTTTTATCAAAAGTTTTTGCTGCAACACTTGACATGTTGTGATTGTTTTAAATACTGATGAAGTGTACGAGCTCGCACTTACCTCCTCTTTCGATAACGACCAGCCACTGCCCGCCGCCAGGTTCTCGTCCAGCTGTGCCAGAGTTCTGGCCCCTATGATGACAGACGACACGACGTCCTTCTGCAGCAGCCACCTGAGGGCGACCTGCGCCACGCTGTGACCTGGGGACACCAAAAGGTCATGAACAATCGTGGTGTTGCAAGGACTCCGGTGTCAACCACGACTGGAGTCACATAAGAAATAAACTGTTACTGTTTTAAAGGGTTCTCTTTGGTGTAAGGTACACAAAAATGTCCACTTTAGAAATCAGTGCATGGATGTTGAATTGACTTACGTCCAAATTAAGCAAGAATCTGAGAGATAATAGTTAATTTGCGTTCACCTGTGCAATATAGTAAATGGTGTTCAGTTTTCACACTAGTTTTTTTTCTTCCTTTTTTTTGGGGGGGGGGGGGGGGGGTAGGGAGTTTTGTTTTTTTTTTGTTTTTTTTTATTTTACTTTGATATTTCTTTGCCAACGCCTATGCACCAAGCTTCCCAAGAAGATGATTAAATTTACATGAAATTTTTAAAAAGATTTCATTCCTGCCCAGTGGCGTAGCTAGGGTTGGTGTCACCCGGTGCGGTAAACTCACGGTGTCACCCCCCCCCCCAAACTTCTATGATCGATTTTTTCTTGTTAAAATAAGTCCACAGTATAGCATTAACCTTGAACTTTTAATAAAGCACGGATTTGGATTTGTGAAAAATATATGTGTGATCGATTATTCTTTTATGAATCTCGATTTTTGCGAGCAATGTGTGCCCTGTAAATATGCAATTTTTCAATCGGGGTGTCACCCCTAAAATGGTGTCACCCGGTGCGGTCCGCACCCCCCGCACCTGCCTCGCTACGCCACTGTTCCTGCCCCACCCCTCTAAAATGTCACATATTTTTTTTACTGGATAAAAAACGGGCGATGGGGGGTCGCCTTCTACTTCTGTGACACAAGGGCTAGACCTCTTCGACTTCCCATTACCTCTCTCGTTCTTTCTTAAACTTTTACTTGCTTTCCTGCGTATCACAATAAACTGACAATTAGGTTTGGGGGTATTAACAATTTTGATTGGTATATATTTAAGAATCGTGGCCCAGGTAAGGTTATGGCGATACTCACCATTTTCATAATGTATATCACAATCCTGGCGCCCGTAAGGTATGGCGATACTCACCATTTTCATAATGTATATCACAATCCTGGCGCCCGTAAGGTATGGCGATACTCACTATTGTAATGGTGTATATCACAATCCTGGCGCCCGTAAGGTATGGCGATACTCACTATTGTAATGGTGTATATCACAATCCTGGCGCCCGTAAGGTATGGCGATACTCACTATTGTAATGGTGTATATCACAATCCTGGCGCCCGTAAGGTATGGCGATACTCACTATTGTAATGGTGTATATCACAATCCTGGCGCCCGTAAGGTATGGCGATACTCACCATTGTCTCTGCTTATGGCCTCGGCAGCCTCTATGATGTCAAAAGTTCTGTCTGTTAGAGCACACATTCCCGGAAGAGGCCGGTTTGTCCTTCTGGAATATTCCGCTACGTCCGCAACGCGACCTTCTGTTGGAAGCATGCCTCGCTTTACTTTGCCGGTTAGCAGGCCTCTGATTGGTCCCAACATTCACCATACAGAAACCAATAAAAACAATGCTTATTATTTTTAAATGTTGTTAGAATTCCTCAACGGACTGAAGCCAGTAGATATTTCCAGTAGATTGTGTCAGTAGATTTTGCCAGTAGATTGTGTCAGTAGATTGTGTCATTAGATTTTGTCAGTAGATTTTGTCATTAGATTTTGTCAGTAGATTTTGTCAGTAGATTTTGTCAGTAGATTTTGTCAGTAGATTTTGTCAGTAGATTTTGTCAGCCTGTTTTAATCCCTACCACTCTTATCCCCCCACCCTTTTTTTCCCCCGACACAGCAAAAATACATCATAAATATATATATGAAGAGTAGTCTCATTAGGAGGAAGTTGACCCAACAACACAACATTATATTGCTCAGCATGTCATTGTGAATGTATTCATTAGTTTAGGTAAAATGGGGCGGAATGGGGTCTATTATTGTATTTATAAGTTCAGGGTGACATGGGGAGGAATTGGGCCGATTAGGACGGCATAAGGGTAACAGATATAACTCACCCTGCCAAAGGACTCCAAGGCAGAACTCCGATGCCTGATGTCTTGCACACTTGAAAGGGTTCAAATTCTGAATCTCTTGTTAACAAATTGTATTGTTGCTAAAGAAAGGGTTGGGGAAAAATAAAGAATATTGCTTGCAGCACGGCTTCTCACACTTTTCATTGAAAGGGACCAGGAGGACTTATTCAACTTTCCAAAGGGGGCCAATCCCAATTGTATTTTCAATTTTCTTGGCCTACTTATTCAATTTTGGAACAGAGGTGAGAGAGGGGCTCGAAGTCAGGAGCCAGTCCGCATCACACTAGTGTGAATAGCACTGGTCTGTTTTTAGCATATGTCGGGGCTGACCGTTACGTTACAGTCATGGTCAAACCGGTCTGCAGGTCGTGGGAGAGTGATTCCCTGAGGCTATGGTCAATGGTAGGGCTAGAAGTGTAGATGGTTCCCCAGCCTTCTCAGGGACATGAAAAGCTTTTCTTTGAATCGCTTGAATATGCCTAGAAGAAAATGGGCGGGGGGGGTGGTGGTAGGGGGGGGGAGTTTGTGGAAATATGTCAGACTTTAAACACGATCTAAAGGGGTGTTTGCGACTAGATGGCGTTATGGTGCGAAATTTGTTAAGTCTTATGTTGGGAAATTTGGAGGCTTTATGATGGAAAATTTATTAAGGGACATTCAGGTGTATAACCCACGCGAAATTTGGATCTTTCACTGATCGCCGCCTTGCAGTCCTCGCATGAAACTTTTTTCGTGTATTTAGATTTAGGCCTTGAGATTTGTACTAGTTCATGCCTCGAATTTCCACGTAGAGGTAAGTGCAAAATATGGTGTTAGAATGTAGAAGCTGTAATTTGTAAAGGGGGGGGGAGGAGGTCGGCTGATTGAGAGGAGACTGATAGATATATTAGGTGGACTTATTTAGTTATATCCTGGACGAGCCACGGTAAGTAGTTACCACAGGGTGTTGTATAGTATTATTTAGGGTAGGTGGTTTTTAATACATGTCAGGAATAGCCACTCTTTCTTGTATAAGTCGAGTCAATTCCTTACAAGTATGCAGTCGTGTTGACAGCAGACAGATACCATCACTTTGCGACCACAAGCAGCAAAGAGAAACCAGCCACAATCATAGACCCATCAGGAGAGAAGAAGTAACAGGCACCCATGACTCCATTGTTAACGTGGCGTAGAGTTCTGCGTGTTTTATATTTCCTTTTGATTGTTCTATTGAGCCGGTAGTTTAGTATTAAGAACTGAGTTGCGCATTTAAAATTGCATTTAGACAACACATTATCTGTCGTTATCTTGATTGACGTTGATTTTTTTGCTTAAATTCTTAACTACAATGTTTTCCTTTGGCACATCAAAACAAGAGGTTTCAGAAAATAGTACAGAGTTTCATTGAAAGATCACTTGAGCATTAGATAGATCGTGACAAAATAAATGCACCTTTTTCATTCTTAGACTAATTTAGATTTTACAGTTTTAGTATTCCTGTCCCTGTTAAATAAAAATCCATAATAAATCCCCCATTTTCAAGCATTTTATTTAATCCTCAAATGAATGACTTAAACCAAAAAAAAAAAATTACCTGTAAACTAACGATGGGATTGAGCCCCAACTTCTCTGAAGTGTCCACCAGTTTCTGCAACTGCCATCCGGAGAAGTTGCTGACACCGACATAACGAACTTTCCCAACACGGACCAAGTCGTCGAGAGTACGTAAAGTTTCCTCCAACCTGGTGGCGTCATCAAAAGCGTGGGCCTGTCATGAAGACAAGGTTAAGTAAAAAGTTTGAATACAACATTTTTCGTTGTAGATTTTATTTATTTATTTATCATTGCAATTATCAGCAGGAGTGACGACGCCTATTAATAAGATTTGCATTTCGTCATTTATAATATTACAATCTACAACACTGCTTGGATAAGAATGGGTACACAAGAGCTTACAGTAGAAGGTGACACACGGCACTTGACTTGGGAACTACATAGAATAAAAGCCAGAAAGAAAAAATATATATATTTGTTTTAATGAGAAAACAAGGGAAACCAGGTGAATTCTGTTGATCACGTGATGTTTGGGCAGTGTTTCCCCTGATCTGGCGTAGGAAGGGTGGTCAGCCCCGAGCGGCACTTGTTTTCAATATACTGAAAAAGGGGGGAGGGGATTTTCGGCCAACTGCCGAGGTTTTGTGCGCAAGGGGGGGGGGTGGCTTAAATCTTGGGCCTCCTAGGGTTGCATGAACCTCAGCTAGGTTAGTGTTAACACGAGCGTAATTCTCTACCCCCCACCCCAACCCCCGAGAGAAGTAAAAGTAAAACTATTAGAATCATTTTAAAACCTGTTTCTATGGCATTACACTAGATTTAAATGTAAATGAAGCAACGGCTTTTTAAAATGTATTTTATCTTTTTATTTTTTATTTTTTTTATGGAGATAAGGCGGTGACGGTTGGCGAATCAGCAATATCGATTATACGGTTAAATTATAACCAAGCGAACTGACAGTGTCCCCAGGGTTAAGTTATTTTAGTAGTCCGTTACCCTTCACACGTCACATCCAACGGTTCCATTTCTAATAAAATGTCTCTCACACATTCGGGCGGGCTTAGAATACCTGCGAAATCGACCTTTTAATATTGTATCTCCTCCTCGTCTTTTTTTTAAAAAGTTATTTTGTTTTTTTTGGCCATTTCATTCATTTTGTTTATTCATATAATTAGACTCCCTCTAGCCATTTTCTTCTTTTTAAAATATACAAACAAAAAACTCCCCACTTTGTGCGATCAATATTTTTTTTGCTTCTTCAAATGAACGACTAGACTGGAAACGGAAAATCGATCCCAACTTCAGATAAAAGACTTTTTTAAAAAAAAACTGCTCGGCCATCACTTCAAACCTGGTTAAGTTATATCCCAGGGAAGATCGCGGGACATAGCAATGATTAGCCAACGAATGGAACAGTTATGGGTGCGTTATTTTTCAACATTTCTAGCGTCCCATCAATCACCTGGTAGAGATCGACAAAGTTCGTTTGAAGGCGCTCCAGACTGGTCACTATACTGGATGTGATATGGCGTCTGCTGAGCCCAACGTAGTTCGGCGTCTTCTCCGGGCCCATGGACATCCTCACTTTGGTGGCGATGACGTAGTTGTCACGGCGCTGTCTGGGGAAATAAACAGACGTGACACATGACTTATGTGACATATTATGTAAACTACAAGCGCGATTTTAACAAAAATAACAATAAATATTTATTATTTGCGTCCATGTGTAAATGTCCCATTAGTACTTGCTTTGACAGCGGCTCTCCCATGGCCCTTGACAGAAGACAGCCTTTTCTTGCATGGGACAGGGGAGCAGATCTCCCACGGCCTTGGCAAGACGACCGCCTTTTATGGCATGGGACAGGGGAGCAGATCTCCCACGGCCTTTGACAGAAGACCGCCTTTTATGGCATGGGACAGGGGAGCAGATCTCCCACGGCCCTTGACAGAAGACCGTCTCTGGAGACCCGGGAGAGGGGAGCAGCTCTCTCTCTCTCTCTCCCTCCCTATCACCTTCACACCTATCCATCTATTTATTTATTTATTCATTCATCCATTCCTATTAAGTGGTTTTATACTGGTCAAACTTTATATTTTTTAATTTAACTGTCAAGCAATAAAAAAATGAAGTCGTGGAGCGGTAAACTCTAAATTTAGCAGATCTTATCTCGGCCGGTGCTTTCAGTCTCCATTATTATTGAAGACTTCTAAGTGGTGTTAAAATCACTACGGATGATGTGTTGAGAAATTAATAGAGAGTAAAAATCAAAAGTTTCCGATAGTATCTTCAAATTTTGTACATCAGCTGTGTGCTCCAGAAACTCCTATCTTCAACTCTTATCATTTATTTTACTTCAATTTTTTAAAATATTTAAATGGGATTGGTGGTGGAGGGGGGGGGAAGGGGAGTGATTCGGGAAACATTTTGAAATGGATATAGTGTACAGGATATGTTGTGAAACAGAGGGGTATGACGCTGTACGCAAAAAAACACAACAGGTTAAGAACCGCTCAGCTGAGCCCAGAGAGAAAAGGACAACCATCTAGAGCGAAGCGGCGAAGACGTTGAGAGGGCGCCTTACTTTTCCAGCCATTTCCCGAGTATCTCCTCGGACCTGCCCCGCCCGTACACGTTGGCCGTGTCAAAGAAGTTCCCGCCCCAGTCTACGTAACGGTTGATGATCTGATGGGACAGGTCCTCGTCACACTGGCCGGTGAGCCCCCACTAGAGGAAACATATACACATATAAACATGTAATGAATGAAGTGGACGATTTGGAAAGTTGTGAATACACTTTGTCTAAAAATAAATTGAAACGAGATGTCGATTGTGAAGGTTCTCTACCATAGTCTAATCCCTCCTCCCCCTTTTTTTACGTGTGGTCCACCAAAAGGAAGGTTTTTTTTTTTCATTTTTTATTTTAAATAAATAATTTTTAAATATATTTTTATATTAAAATCGTAATAAAGTCTTCAAACACACAAATTCAAAAGTTTAATTGTAATGAACTGATGATGATAGTAATTTTCAAAGTAATTTTTTTGACCAGATGCTGAGAATAAACATCGTTTTGTCTATCAGACATGGTACCACATTTTGGCTAGCAAGTCCAAGGGCATAGGCACTATTTATTTTACTAAAATTGTAAAATATGTTGTTTTGTTTTTCCCCCAATGTTTAATTAAGAAGAATTGCTGCACTAAAGTCCCACCAGTTAAATGAACCCTACAAAAATAGTTGATGTCTATCAAAATAAACCACTGCTTTGATTGAATTGTTTTCACTATAAAATTGTCGTAGTTTTTTTTTTAAAGTTTAAATTTCTTAAAGAATTGAAAATTTATTCTTAAAAAATATTTACTTAACCTTTTTTTACCCTCTCCATTTCTGGCCATAAAAGAAAAGCATTATATTAAAACTTTTGTTAGAAAACTTCATATATACCTTTTATGTTGTCATATTCTGCAATCATGTGATCGCAGTGGTAGAAAAGTTAAAGCATAAAATTATGATCACTCTATATAAAGCGCTACTTGTGCGCTCTTGGGCGCCACTCCACCATATTTCATAGCCCAGGATGTTTCTTATCCTGTCAGCTTATGAGCTTACGTTCTGCTGGTATCATCATTTCTAGGACACTCGTTTACAATTATAAAAAAAAAAACAACTAAACTGTTGTTACGCACTGTTGTCAGCGTAGAGAATTTAATATCTTATTTTAACTGTTGACATTTTAATATATATTATAGATATGGGTCGTGATAAGCAGTACACAACAAAGGACGATACCAAGAATTAAACACAGTTTTAAAGAAACGATACCCAAACTAGGGCTAATTAGTGTCTCTGGTTTTTCATTTTTCTTTTACTTTAGCAGTTTAAATAGTTTACATATTTTTTAATAATTGTAAAGCGCTTAGAGCTGTAAGGTAAGCGCTATACAAAAATGCCTAAATAATAATAATAATAATAATAATAAAAACAGATAATAGTTTATTAAGTTAATTAAAAATTACAAAATCAAATATAATGAAACAAAGGCTATTGAATTACGGTACAGCTATGACCTTGTACCGGAACAAAGTTGAGAAAGGTGCATACACACATACAGTAAATATTAATAAGCAAAACTCTGCTCTCTTTTTGTCTTGTATCGTAATAGCAAATCTCTCCCCATATCCCAATGGAGATCGGCTTATTTATAGTCCTTCTTAGGGACTTTTTCCAGAAAGGGGTTCGGTATTATTTCTGTACCTCGACCCGTCTCGTTCGTTCTAAAGATTTCTAATTCGAAAGACTATAGACTATGCTTACATGTAGTCAAGGCTAGGAGACACCATTTAAAAATTAAGCTACACCCCGTCGCGTTGCCAGACTTGGGGTCAGCCAAAGTTCATGTATGAGTTGCACAAGAAAACATGTCGTAGACAGTTGACAGGGCCTCTCCTCTACATAACACTATATCAAATTACAATTAATATTACAGATGTCGGCCTTTTAGGCATATTTATGCATTAAAAAATGTTTTGTTACAAAAGTGATAAATCCATCCATTGATTAAAGATTAGGAACTAGAGCCTCCTCACCCAGACCCAGATGAGAACAGACCGCTGCCCTAGTCAAAGTTATTTGAACAGAGTACATCCTTTCCGGGACCTTAGATGCCGTCACTGCGGACAGGCGCCGGAGACAGCTATGCATTTACCAGCCGAGAATACAGTGTTAACAATTCGAGGAGTTGGGAACAACCCAGACATCCACGTAGAAAGTCTGATTTACGGTGATGCCCAGCAGATGCGGCATGCCTGTGAAGTGCCAGCCGGGGCCTTAAAAGAGCAATAGCTCGATCCAGTAAACAAAAAGTAATATTGGGATTTTGATACAAATAGTTAAAAAAAGAAGAAGTGAAGCACAAGAAACACATTTTATTGTGTTTAATTATTTTTTTAAAATTGAAAATTAAGTCAAGAATTTTGTGGGACCGTCCGAATTAGTGGGATCCTTCGAATTAGTGGGGCCCTCCAGATTAGTGGGATAACTGATTTAATGGGGCCCTCCCACCCACCCGCACTTAATATAACCCCTAACCTGACATCGCTTTATTAACCCCATACAACATTAATCGCACATGGACACTTGTATTCAGTGATGTGGTTTGGGCAGGGCACCTTGACTTTGCAAGATTTGTTTTCACTATCTTGGACAAAAGAAAATTTAAACGCAGAGCAAATTGAATAATGAAAATGAAAAAAAAAAAAGAACTATTCGGTCATTAAAAAATGTAAAACGTAAATCATCATCACTCAATTCTTACTTCATTTGTTACGTACTGTGGCGCCACTAGTACTAACTAACTAACTTAAGAAAATCAGCGAACACCGAGCCTTGAGGCTCATATGGTCCTCCCCAACGCACCACCCCGCCAACCAAACCGGCCGTCAACCACTCCCCCAGTGGTCTTTATTCCGATCGGGCCGCGAAGCGGCACGCCAGGGACGCTCCGCCCCTAAGACCGCCACACTCGACCTCCACTCGATTGGCCGCTGAGTGTGGCAGCCCCAGAGAAGAAACACCTGGCCAGCCGGATTGCTGCTCACGCAGCAACAGGGCCGGACTTTCTAAGGGGTTGGGGTGGATATTTAACGTCTCTAAAGTCCCCCCTTACCACCCCGGGGGGACCGCGTAGTTGTTTAAGACCGACGCCCTCTACTAGGGTTTGTATGGTTATTCTACGGNAGGGGGGGTTGCAATGCCATGAGAATAGATCTGAGAACCTTTTCAAATTTCAAATCACTATCTCAACAGGGGCGCAGCTAGGTATTGTTTTGTCAAGTAGAGTAAAGAGATGAGACGTCAACGCATTGTAGCCGCCACTGTTTGACGGGCTGTAGCTAGCTTATATGTATCTTGAATCTGTGTATGGATTTTTGTGTGGTGATTATGAATATGGCAATATGTAAATGGCTTGATATGTGTCATCATGACTACATGACTGTGAATGTTTGCCTCATTAAAATTGGCTGCATGAATGCAAGACCATGAAGTTGTGTTGCATTCAAAGAGTGAATGCATACGAATTATTTTATGTGTCAAATTTATGTAAGCTTTTAAAAAAATAAAATATTCTTTTATCGAAAAGCCATTATATTTTGTCATAATATTTTATATTTGGCTGAAAGTTCATGTCTTCTTGGCGAATTCTATCTATATATATATATATATATATATATATATATATATATATATATACATATACACATATATAAATAACTTTGTAAGACAGGTCTCCACTTACAGATGACTCCCCGAAGGTCATCGTCCCCAGGCACATGTTGGAGACCTCCATACCCGACTGCCCCAGAAACACATTTGGGAGTTTGTTTTCATTGGGCACTGGGGAGGACATTGCTTCGATTTACTGTAAAAAAAAAAAATCAATTAAACTCTGAATCAAGATAGCATGAAATGGATGAAGCATTCAAAAGTATAAATTCCTGTTTTTCTGATGTTTACAAATAAGCACAAAACCTGCAAGGTTTCGACATGATTTAAAGCAACGTTTCGCAAATGCGGGTCGCGACACGGAACCGGGCCACGAAAGCAAAAATGCCCGGTACTGAAATAAAGTTGAAATCCCGGCCAAGTGTTTGTTGTTCTTGTTGTTGTTTTTGTTTTACTCCCGTTAGGACCTTACCTAACGGAAACTAGTGTTGAATCGGGACCACCCAATTGAATGTGTCGCCGTTCTCAGTGTCCGTTGCTAATAATTAGCCCAAACCATGGCGCCTCAGAAATTGTCGACCAAATCACGACAAAAGAACATGGGGGACATCGTACCCATCTGTTGTGTAGTACCTGCACGGTGGAGGGTGATTTATTTTGCACCAGCATAAAATGCCCATCCACTTAAGTTTTAGAACGTGGAAGCAAAATGCCCCCGCAAATTGTGCACATAGATAAGAGAGAAATTAGGGGCAAACATAAAGTAGAGTTCGAGAAACAATATGTCTTCGTTGTCTACAAGCTTAAAGTTTCTAAACCTAACAAACAAACAAACAGAAAAAACAACAACAAAGAATTAAAAAGAAAGAAACTTCTCACTCAAGACTTCTTTGCCAGGCTCCTCATTGACAACTTTTCATTTTTGTAAGAGTAACTGCTATTTTTTTTTTTAATTGAAATTGTATGGACTTTGAAATGTGTTCAAAAATGACCACAATAGGTAATCGAAATTTAGTGGGTCGTGAAGTTAAGGTACAAAAAATTACCCCCCAAACCCCCCCCAAAACCCCCCCCTCCCCTAAAAAAAAAAAAAAAAAAAAAAAAAAAAGGTACAAAAAATTACCCCCCACCCCCCCCCCAAACCCCCCCCCTCCCCAAAAAAAAAAAACCAAACAACAAAACAACACAACCACACACGCAAAAATCAACTAATTTTTTTAATTGCAAACCTTAATTTAACCTACGCTTATTTTTGTTAGAGATATTAACTTTGGACCACAGGCTAGTGTTTGTAAGTTCACATGTTTTATATGAATCTTCTACTGAGACCTCTCAGCCCTTAAGTATTTACATAAATGATGGTGTAAGTCATGAAACAATAAATATTTTCATATGGGCTAAATTTAGTTTAAAAAAGAAAGTTTAACATTTATACATGTACAAAAAAAATTGTTACATTGAACTATTTTATAGATCAAAGATCTTTCAAATCTTTACCATCGAAACAATGTTTATCCTACTCAAAACAATTCCCTACAAGTCGCACTGACAATTATCACGTGCTCATTCTCTAGTTTCCGTGACGCCAGTAGTCCAACTCACCATCAGACTCCGAACTCAAAAGTGCAAACTCAGCACTATAAAACCAGTATCTACTTACAAAACTACAAAATGAACAGCTGTCCCAATGGCCACACATTAAATAATGTTCTTAATATTAAATTTTGTGAACATATTGTACGATCCACTGAGGAAATACTTTTTTTTTTAATTACTGATGCTAATAGCAGAACGAAAAACGTCATATCCTTTTTTCTTTTTTTAAAGTGCACACCACTTTGACTCCCATTATAGTGCGCACCGAAAAGCACTGCAATCGTTAAGTATAATTTCCAACATTTTTACTCATTTCCCCAGATGTAGCTTCATTTCAATAGTTATCCACTTTGCACCACACTCCGCGTCAGATGGCTTTGCGCCAAGTCTAACATGTGTCCTCCAAACACGGGTATTGACATAACGATGACGTCATTTTCCAACACGTCCCCAGAGCGCTCCTCATTGGGTGTAACTTCTGCACGAAATACCGTTATTCCACAGTGTCCTGCTCTTCCTCCCATCAGTTGGTCAGAGCCAACAGTGAAATGACGGAGTCTATGCGAGCCTCATCAATTGATATGGATGTAAACAGTTACTTTCTGGGTGGGGGGCTTGTATTGATTTTATTTTATGTTTAGAATGTTTCATTTTTTGTTTTAAATCCGAAAGCCGATGGTTCTATAATTTAGACACATGCTAAAAGCATCAGTTAACAATTTAAAAATAAATACTCACCTTTGAATCAAAGAAATATTTTTTTTTAAAATAATTAATTAACATTATATCATACATAATAAAATATATAAATGTGGAAATGTGTGGGTCTGTCTGTCTGTTTCTTTTGTTTGTTCTTCATACGCTTCAACGTGGATTGATGGATCTTGACCAAACTTGGCACGCATGCTCATCATTATCCAGAATAAACTACTGGTGGCGATGTGATTTCTTATATCTTCTTCTTCTTCTTCTATATCTTAAGGGCTCACTATCGATTTATTGATCATTTTGGCTCCTATGCATGTAGATGGGATTTGCAATGTTTCTGTTACTGGTGTTGATGAGAAAATCATACACTAGGGGTTTGAAGGCTTGAGGCAATAGACACAAATGTGTCTAGTGTTGTCACCTCAACCGTTCCTTTTGAAAGATTGTTCCAGTCCCTGATTGTCTTGGGCAGGAATGAGCAGCTCCTATACTGGCTTTTTCTTTTAAATATAAAATGCATGAATGGATCGATCTGGAGCAGTGGTTCTCAAATTTGGCCGTACGGACCCCAGAGGGCGGTGGCACTGCTCAGAAGGGCTCTAAAATATTCCGTAGCGGTAGGTTGACATAAGGGGCGCTGGTGAATTTTTTAATGCTACATTTTAAAATTCAGAACTTTAAAAAAAGAATGATAAATAATAATAATAAATAAATAAACAATATAAGATTTTCAGCATTTTAAAAAGAATCGTCAATAGAAAACAGTGAAATATGGGAAATACTCTCAGACACACTCTTTTCAGCAGCACGCACGGCATTACAACAAAACTTGTTTACTATACAAGTGGGGAGGAGCGATGAATATACAACGCTAATAACTTAGACAACCCAGTGTCGAGTATGAGCGTTCATTAGGAATTGTTGCGACTCAATATTATGTTCATTAGTTGTTGAACGCTTTTCCCGCGCTTGACTATTATAGTTAGTGAACGCTCTTCCCGCCATTGTCTCTATGACGTATTTTTATGCTGAGTCGTGACGTATTGTCTATGCCGTGTTGTGACGTATGTTTTAGTCGTGCGGCAGTCTTGAGTGGAACCTTGGAGTGATAGGATGTTTATTATATTTACTTAGATATTAAAGTTATAGTTATTATGAAAAGGAGTTGAGTTTGTTAATTGATAGTGAGAATAGTACGACGCTTCAACGTATGAAAGAACTGACGAATGTAATCAATCCAAGAAGACGTGTAGGAGTTGACACCCAGCACCAATCTGAACATCGTTGTATTATTATTATTATTATTATCACTATTATTATCATTATTAGTATTGTTGTTGTTATTGACGTGTTCAAATTTATGTCACGCTTTTTCATTTAATGATTTTTTTTTTGTTTTCATTGTAGAATTGTGCCAAACTCTAAACAATAGTTTAACGGATTAAGATAACGTTCTCGATTTGACGAGAAACGTAAATATTTCTGGACGCGTCGGTAGACTCACTATATAAATAAGGGGTTTTGGAGATTCAGAGAGATTGATAGATATTATTAACTTCACGAGACGTGTATTATTCTTTGTGTACTCATATGTGTTTATTCGCATTCATCTTTATTAATTGGCACATTGTACTAATTGAGTACCGTTACAAGATTTTCTCATACTCTGTAAGTTGATGATTTATAATTATATTTCTTTTGTTTTGTTATTGTATTATTACTAAATTAAATCTTATTGGTACTGTTTTGGGTGTCGTATTTTTGTTATTGCATTTCTTTATGGTATCGTCCTTTTTTAGGCACTGTTCGAACGAGCCATACATTTAAAATACGAGATTAATTTCTCCCAATAGAACCCAGTGCGTAACAAAATGCCATTCTCAAAATTATCTGAATGATTTTTATTGGGCGCAACTAAAACGGCAGATTATGGAATGGGCCTCCACTGGGGACCCTATTTTGAACTTAAAGGAAAAATGTTAAAGACGTGAAATTTTTTTGTATATCTTTTTTTCGTATTTGAACAATGATTATGTAGAGGAGTCATTTTTTTACACGTGTCTGGGGGTAGGAGGAGGGGTGATATTAAATTAAATCTAGTGTTTTCCACATTGTTCCTCTGGAATATATAGAGCGAGCCAAATGGTTATGGAAATGTTAGTTAATTCTATAGATTTTTATACCGTCCTGTGAATTTTCTCAGTATCGGTGAATTATCTTTTTTATAAGTTTCTTGAAGTTTCTAGATCATTCTAGCAGTTTCGACTTTTTCCTTTAACTGTTGTAGGATTATATAAACGTCCTTATTATGTTTCTAATGTTTTTTAAAACTTTCAACAAGTTTCCCCTAATGTAAGGAATTTCTAGAAAGCTCGCAATGAAATGTTCCCTTATCATGTTCTTAGCTATATACATACATGAAGTTGAGGGCTTAGATTACAGTGTATGCTTATAAGTGTATTCGATGGATCCTGGCCAACTTTGGCGACCTTTGGAGAAGGTGACCCCACCGGGAAATGGATCCCAATGGGGAAGGGGATCCCACCTAGAAATGGCTAGCCTCTGAGATTTTATTTGATTTACATGATAAACGGTTTAGCTTAGACTTTGGTAAATAATTTGTTGAAATGGACATGATTTTAAATAAATATTTTTTTACAAGGCCCAGTTTGAATTGACTTGAATGTGAAACGAAATTTGCTGGACCACAATATCTTTATAAGCGTTATTATAGTTGTGTTTGTTGTAATAAGAGAAACTTAGAATTTTAAAAATATTTTTCTCTATCGATGTGTATTTTTTTTTACAGGGCTATTAATTTTAATGTTAACTAATAATAATTACTAATAGGTTAAAGAAACTTTTTTGTCCCCAAATAGAATACCTGACAACGCCACAGAGGCATAGCGAGGGTGTTTTTTTGCACCCGGGGACAAGATTCGCGCCCGGGGACAAGATCCATTTTAAAGCACCCCTTTTTCTTTTCTTCAACTCTCAAACCCATTATTTTTTTTACCAATAATATAATATCAAAGCACATTTTGGCGCCCCTAACTAGCGTGCGCCCGGAGACATCTGTCCCCCCCCCCTGCCTCTGCAACGCCGGGTACATTACCTAGTTACAAATAGTTTGTAAAATTATACGGACAGTTTATTTATTTCAAATTACTAATCTGGCATTTATGGGTAAGGTTTATTTTTCCCAGGGGAAACCAAATTCATTCCTAGTTCCCTCCCTCGTCAACATTTCTGTATCCGCCCGTGATCCCTAGTAAACAGACATATATTATTTAACCCCTGTCCCCAGTGCAAAGGTAATTTTGTATATAAAACTGCCAGGACAACAACTCGGGTTCGTACTTAAGTAAAACATAACGGCTAGTTGTTTTGAGACAGTAGCCCGAAGGGTTCGTACTTAAGTAAAACATAACGGCTAGTTGTTTTGAGACAGTAGCCCGAAGGGTTCGTACTTAAGTAAAACATAACGGCTAGTTGTTTTGAGACAGTAGCCCGAAGGGTTCGTACTTAAGTAAAACATAACGGCTAGTTGTTTTGAGACAGTAGCCCGAAGGGTTCGTACTTAAGTAAAACATAACGGCTAGTTGTTTTGAGACAGTAGCCCGAAGGGTTCGTACTTAAGTAAAACATAACGGCTAGTTGTTTTGAGACAGTAGCCCGAAGGGTTCGTACTTAAGTAAAACATAACGGCTAGTTGTTTTGAGACAGTAGCCCGAAGGGTTCGTACTTAAGTAAAACATAACGGCTAGTTGTTTTGAGACAGTAGCCCCAAGGGTTCGTACTTAAGTAAAACATAACGGCTAGTTGTTTTGAGACAGTAGCCCGAAGGTTTAGGTGCAAACCTAAACAGTAATTTTGAAACGTCGTATTCGTCATATACGAAACTCGAAACAAAAAAACCTGTACCTAATTGTATGTGTTAATCATAGAGGAGATTTATCTATTAGAACTTGCCGTTTGGTTAACCTCTTCGTTCGTTGTTTGCCTGAGACATGGTAGTCGTAAAAAAAAAAGGCGGGGGGGGGGGTGGGGTAGCGGTGGGACGGGACTCTTCATCCAACTGTTTTATATGGCTATTGCCCCAACAAATCTACTAATACGTCATTCTGATAGCGACACTAATGACACATTTCGTGTTATGGACTTCCAAAACATGGGGCATTATTCAAACGCTTCAGTTCACATAAGAGCTGCGTCAAATCTGCAGACTTCCAAACACATCAGCCATCTTTTATGACTGAAATATTACACAGCGAAATGACATCAGCGGGACATCGAGCGTTAGCCCTCAATGCCCTCCCCAAAGCAACCCCACCCAGCCCCAACACCGGTTGTCCCCAAAATTGGACCACGACGTGGCACGTTAGGCACCCCCCCCCTCAGCCGGGACCGCCCCCACTTGCACCCGCTCGATCTGGTTTACAGGCGGAGCCCGTCACCGCCCTAGGGCCGTCGTTTCGGAGGGTTAGAATAGGGTAAAAATGCTGTTTTCGCACATTTGATGATAAATATTAATACTGAATTTATAACTTTAAAAAAGGGATATTTTTAATTGAACTGTATAAGCTGTTGGCGGGGATGACAAACCGAAGCCGCAGCCCGAATCGCGCCCGCGTGCCGTAGTTAGCCAACCCCTGAAGTTTAGCTCAGTTTTCCGGCCCATGGGCGGTGACCTTACATGGGATTGCGAAGGCATTAATGTGGGTTCATCGACTGAAACAATAGACTCTGGGATAGAGTTATTTTTAAATAGATTTTATTTTTTAAAACTTTTTTCTCTTAAAGTTTGAGTTGCTGTTTCAATCATCACACTAACTATGTCGCCAATGACATCACATTAAATATGTCGCCAAGCAAATATACTAGAACATTTATTTTATAAATGTTTAGCTTTCCAAAAATTTACCCCATTGAAAACCCCTTGTTCCTCATATATCGTTTTAAGAGTTTATTTGCTTCTATAAGAATGTGGTCGTCACTAAAAAAAAAAAACGCCTGACAACCTGAGTATTAGAACTACTGAGCTTAGCAAATCGGCGCAGTTAGTTAGATTTTATAGGTCTTGGCTTATAGCGACAATTCGCAAAAGTCTGTCGCTTGTTGAAATGTTAAAAAAAAAAAGTACGCAGTCAATTTGCCCCACCCCACCCCCCTCTCGGAGTTAAAATGTAAAACAACAAAAGAAATACATGTTTTAAATTTTTAAAACTTAAATGTCATTTTTTTTTAAAATGAATTGTGTCTGGTACACTTATCCGATTACAATTAGTGGAGCATATGAAATAAGCTATTCTCCATATATGTTGGTGATCCGTATTTTTAAAGCTAATCTTGATAGAGGCTTACACTACTCCATTACAAATATCGTACTGTGGCAACATTTGGCGGCTCCTGATCACAAGCCGCAGGCATACCGCCTGCTGTTCGCATAGATCGGTATTTTAAATTATGTCATCCAACTTCATCAGATGAAAGACTTCGAGAACAATGCATTAAACTACATTTGCATCATATAAAGGTCTGTAATTTAAATACACTTCCTGCTAATTATCATTGCTAATTTTCGCGCTTCTCGCGAAGTCTGAAATTCCGACCCCCAAAATGTCTGAAAGAAAAACCGAAATCAAGTATGCGCCAAAATGCATCCGTGCATTATGTATTTATCAAACATTTTCTAATGAGACCTGCCTCCATTTTTGCTTCAGGGTCTCTGGCATCCTTAATTTCTGCCTGTCCCTCCCTAACGCCGATCAGTGTGACACTCTGGGGTCGAATCTAAGCGTGTGCCGTGCAATCCCTTTGGGTCGCATCTTAACCCGAGCGTTCTCAGATTATGTATGGCACTGTGCACCGAAATCCCTCGCCGGACGTTTGAAATGTTCCTCCACCCGATCAATTAGTCTAATATAAACACTGAATCCAGGTATGCTTCAAAATGCACCTTTTGATTTCGAAATTATACCCCCAAAAAATTGTGGAGATGCTACCAGAGCCCCCTCCCCATTTCTTATTTTAAATATGTTCAAGAGACATCGGTCATATTCTACCCTACTTCCCGAGAAACAGGACGATTGCAGCTGATCCTGACGGTCAATTTTGCTGCTGATAGATGCACTGCCTAGGTGCATAGCCAGGATTAGGTCCACCCTGCGCGGACCACCTCCCATCCACCCCCTTTCTACGCCACTGGTTAGGTCCCAGCATGCAGCCTTGTGCTACTTTAAACTTTCGGTGGTTGTAGCATAGCCTGGAGTTTACCCACAGCATGAAACTGACACCCAGAGCGTGTCACCCTTTTTTTTTTTTACAATTAGTTGGCACCCTGCCAAAACATGAAGTGTTATCTCAACATTTAAAATGATTTATATATAACCGATAAAGCTATCAGAAATTAAGGCAATACATTTGAGGAACTGCTTTTATTTTTCTACGAGAAATTTGTAAATGAGATAAAGAGAAGATAAGTTAAAATAAGACAAAATACTTTTATTGATTCAAATAAAAGGAAATGGGTTTTATGACACTGTACATATACATTTTCAGCACATAAATAAATACATATTTTAACCAAGACAACATTTTACAATTATAACAATTGAAACACAAAACATTATAAGTGTTTCTCTAGCGTAGAAATCAGCCATCAATAACTTCCTAAGTGTCATTATTGATTTATTTAATGATCATTTAGATTTGGTAACGGTTGGAGGAGAACTGAGGTAGGACATAGAGAGCATGGAGGAGAACTGAGAGAGCACTGAGAGAAAAGAGGGAAGAACTGAGAGAGCAACGTGGGGAGGAAGGGGAGAACTGAGGCAGCAATGAGAGAGCAGAGGGAGAACTGAGGGAGAAATGAGACAGCAGGGGGAGACTGAGGGAGCAATGAGCGAGCAGGGGGAGAACTGATGGAGCACTGAGAGAGCAGGGGGACAACTGAGGGAGCAATGGGAGAGCAGGGGGACAACTGAGGGAGCAATGAGACAGCAGGGGGAGAACTGAGAGAGCAATGAGACAGCTCTGGGGAAGCACCGAGAGAACACTGGGACAGCACGCTGGAAAAAAAACTTAATAGAAAGATCTAACATACGTGTCTACAACATGTCTATTCCTGCGGTCTTCGTTAAATTTAAAAACCATTTCGTAGGGGTAGGGGAGGTTCGGTGCGGTGATGTCATCAAGCAGCTGCATCTGAAATATGGAATTTAAAAATATTTTTAAAACAATTTTTATTTTTTAAAACTTAAGACCAAAGTCAAGACTTTGGACAGGCATTCTTATGGAGCCAATGGTTTCGAATATAACGTGGACAGGAATTAAATATGTTTTATTTTTATTAATTTCTTCGCAGGTTCTCAATACGTAACGCACTTTAAGCTATTTCAAATTATTTTCTTCTTTTTTTAATGCGCTTTTAAACTCGTCTTTGACAGAAAGTCTTTTTCAATTAATTTTTTTTTAAATTTTATACTTTTTTAGTTGTATAATTGGAAGCTCAAAATTATCGACAAAGTAGAATTATTTACTTCTTAAAACAACGAATTCTTACAAAATCCCGGATAAAACACTTTACTCTATACATAACAAATAGATTTTTACGATTTTGGCGTAGTATAACCCTTGTCTCGAGTAGTCACTTGTTCTAAGTCTACTCGACGTATGACCTGACCCTAACCATTTCCGACCACGTATGCCCTGACCCTAAACCATTTACGACCAACGACCGCTACACAAAATCCTCATGATCTCATCTGACCTCCACTACCCACCCCTCCACGCTGTTCTGTAAATGAAGCAGGCGCGATCAAACACGATCAACTGAGAGAGAGAGGATCCCGTGTGACAACTAAAGTTAATGCTCCAAAGCTACCACACCCATTGATTTGAGAGTAAAAAGAAAATCTTCAAAATGAGCGCGTTAAATTAAATACATAGGAAATGAGAAATCCAAAGTAAGGTAAATCCTGAAAAATCTTACTTTTGACCTTACTTTTTTTTTACTCTTTTTCTATTTTACTAACCGGATTACAGTCTCTCCCTTTTTTACCCTGTTAAAAATACAGCAGTTGGAGATGAGCTTTACAAAGGAAAATTCAACTAATCATTTCATTTGTTTGTTAGTTGTTGTTTTTTTTTTGGTCAAACAAATTCACCCATCAGATCTTATCTCATAATTTAAATAAACCAATCAACCCCCCCCCCTCCTCACATCTTACCTCTTCTTTGGTCAGTGACAACTAATCATTTCATTTGTTTGTTAGTTGTTGTTTTTTTTTTGGTCAAACAAATTCACCCATCAGATCTTATCTCATAATTTAAATAAACCAATCAACCCCCCCCCCCTCCTCACATCTTACCTCGTCTTTGGTCAGTGACCAACCGCTGCTGGCTTCCAGGTTATCGTCCAGCTGGGCTAGAGTTCGCGCTCCGATGACAACAGACGAGACCACGTCTTTTTGTAACAGCCATCGTATGGCAACCTGAGGCAAGCTGCGATCTGAAAATGGCGGGAAAAAAAAATATTTTTAAATGGATTTAGCTATTTGGTACTATTCAATTATCAATTAATTTTTTAATTACTTGCTAATAACCAATATATTTGCTTATAGTTTTTACATTTGGCAAGTAATCAACACAAAGGAAACAATAAAAGTATGCATAGTTAATAACTAGCACATAAAAATAAAACATGTGGAGAGACGCTCTAATAAAGTACTAATTAAATAAAGTATACACATTTTTCATTAAGATACAATTTTGCCTCTCCACTATGGCATGGCCTTTTGGATTTTCGTAAAATATTAAACGTTGATCTCAGAACGGAACCACTCCATTGATGACGTATATTTGTTACAACATTAGCAAAGCTCTTACTGTATCTCTTGCCAATGGCTTCGGCAGCTTCTATCAGATCAAACGTCTTGTCATCAAATTCACTCCAAAGGGGAGCCGACTGTCGCACTCTGGTCTTATCCTCAGCCACCCAAGCTAATCTCCCTTCAGCTGGCTTCAAGCCTCGCCTGACCTTGCCCGTCAGGAGACCTCTTTAAAAAAATATATATAGTTTAGCACTTCAAATGGCAGAAATGGTAATGTCCCTTCATATTCGATTTAAAATTTATGTCTTGTCATTGATAATTTTGTAAAAGGTGAACATTAAGACGGGATATTTGTTGTATTTTACTGCCTGATAGTTCAACCAGATCATTTTAACATTTGCCAATTCTTTCACTGAACTTAAGTTTGCAGTAAGGCCACGTTTGTTAAAGTCATGTTCGGTAAAGTCATGTAAGCTCCCCTGCTGTATAACTTTGAGAGAAATTTTGTAATAATTGTAGATTGGAAACACACAAATAACATTACGACAGTCATAATTGAGTTTTTTTTTCTAATTGGCAAGAGGAAGATGAGTTGCATGTTTGTGTGAACTGTTTAGAGTCTAAAATCATGTGATAAGATGGATGTGTGTGTGTGTGATGTGAATAACATCAGGTGATAAGTTAAAAGTGTGTGTGAAGTGATTAAAATCATGTGATTAGTTGGATGTGGGTGCGAATCGACTAACATCATGTGATAAGTTGGATGTTTGTTTGTGTGTGTGTGTAAATAGACTAACATCATGTGATAAGTTGGATGTGTGTGTGTGTGTAAGTGTGAATAGACTAACATTATGTAATATTTTGGATGTGTGTGAATAGACTAACATCATGTGATAAGTTGGATGTGTGTGTGAATAGACTAACATCATGTGATAAGTTGGATGTGTGTGTGAATAGACTAACATCATGTGATAATTTGGATGTGTGTATGTGTGAATAGACTAACATCATGTGATAAGTTGGATGTATGTGTGAATAGACTAACATCATGTGATAAGTTGGATGTGTGTGTGAATAGACTAACATAATGTGATAAGTTGGATGTGTGTGTGAATAGACTAACATCATGTGATAATTTGGATGTGTGTGTGAATAGACTAACATCATGTGATAATTTGGATGTGTGTGAATAGACTAACATCACGTGATAAGTTGGATGTGTGTGTGCAAGTGTGAATAGACTAACATTATGTAATAATTTGGATGTGTGTGAATAGACTAACATCATGTGATAAGTTGGATGTTTGTGTGAATAGACTAACATCATGTTATAAGTTGGATGTGTGTGTGAATAGACTAACATCATGTGACAAGTTGGATGTTTGTATGTGTGAATAGACTAACATCATGTGATAATTTGGATGTGTGTGTGAATAGACTAACATCATGTGATAAGTTGGATGTGTGTGTGTGAATAGACTAACATCATGTGATAATTTGGATGTGTGTGTGAATAGACTAACAGCATGTGATAAGTTGGATGTGTGTGTGAATAGACTAACATCATGTGATAAGTTGGATGTGTGTGTGAATAGACTAACATCATGTGATAAGTTGGATGTGTGTGTGAATAGACTAACATCATGTGATAATTTGGATGTGTGTATGTGTGAATAGACTAACATCATGTGATAAGTTGGATGTGTGTGTGTGAATAGACTAACATCATGTGATAATTTGGATGTGTGTATGTGTGAATAGACTAACATCATGTCATAAGTTGGATGTGTGTGTGAATATACTAGCATCATGTGATAAGTTGGATGTGTGTGTGAATAGACTAACATCATGTGATAAGTTGGATGTGTGTGTGTGAATAGACTAACATCATGTGATAATTTGGATGTGTGTGTGAATAGACTAACATCATGTGATAAGTTGGATGGGTGTGTGTGAATAGACTAACATTATGTGATAAGTTGGATGTGTGTATGTGTGAATAGACTAACATCATGTGATAAGTTGGATGTGTGTGTGAAGAGACTAGAAATCATGTGATGAGTTGGGTGTAAAACGTGTAGAGACTAACAGTGTCAAGGGTTTGAGAATCACTGTTTTGAGATGTGGGATAAAAGTGAATGATGTTCACCAAATGAGTGGAGGTTTGAGTGAGCTAGGCGCGAGATTGTCATTGACAATTATGGGCGAGAGAGTATGTATATCGAGTGTTGTATCCACGTTGCAGATTGTGGGTGTTTCTGAGTCAGTTGACGTAATATGAACTAGTGATGATTCTGTGTTTCCTCCTTGGATTTGGATGCCACGTGACCATTCAATATGTAATGACCTTAATAAACGTATCGTAATATATGATGGAGTCGGAGTTGTAGTGGCTTGAACTAAGGCAGCGGTTCTCAACCTGTGGGTCGCGACCCCTTTGTGGGTCGCGTGACCCTTTTCCAGGGGTCGCCTAAGACCATCTGAAAACATATATCCTTACAGCTATGAAGAAGCAACAAAAATAATTGTGTGGCTGGGGGGTCGCCACGACACGAGAAACTGTATTAAGGGGTCGCGGCACTAGAAAGGTTGAGAATCACTGAACTAAGGTATAGGATAAGTGCACTAGATTGAGAGACTTTACTTGTAGTCCGATATTAAGAGTAAGTACATCGTCAAACCTCTGAGATGGACAGCGCATTATTCTAGTCAAATAGCATGTGTTGAATGTGATTTTTGTGTAAATAAAAATGTATTTAATGATAAATAATGACACGCAAGGAAAATATAGGTTTGAAAGCCTAGAACATTCTGTGGTATATAGTTTTAAACAATAAAAAAGTATAAGAACTAAAGGAACAAATTATGTGAACCGTCTTTTTTCTGTTTTTTTGTAAGAAGCCCTCTAAGATGTCATGACTTTTAATATGATTAAAATATTTGCTTCTACAGTGTCGATCAATTTAAAAAAATAATTTTCAAAAATTGTATGTCTCGATATCTAATGTTCTTATCATTCCTACCCTTTCAATGGACTCCATGGTAGCACTCCGGAACATGGATATATTTTGATAGTTAGTAAATGTGTGGCCCGAACATGGATATTTTTTTATTGTTATTGAATGTGGGCTCCGGAACATGGATATATTCAGATGATTAGACAATGTATGGCCCGGAACATGGATATATTTAGATATTTGTGAATGTGAAGACGTTGGTTTAATTGTTTATGTTGAAGTATCTTTAATTCTTCTTTGGGATTTTCCCCACCTTTCAGAGGTGATCTGGGGAAAAAATTATAATTTTTAAAAATGCATCAAAGTGAACCTTTCTTGGCAGGTTCAAAAGGCGATGACAGAATACCCCAAAGAGGTTGCGAACTTTCTGACCTACATTTTGGGTAAATTGTTTAACTATGATTGGCATTGACGATTCCCTTTTAAACGGTGAGTACGATTCCCCTTTAAACAGTGAGTACGATACCCCTTTAAACAGTGAGTACGTTTCCCCTTTAAACAGTGAGTACGATTCCCCTTTAAACAGTGAGTACGATTCCCCTTTAAACAATGAGTACGATTCCCCTTTAAACCATGAGTACGATTCCCCTTTAAACAGTGAGTACGATTCCCCGTTACAAAGTGAGCACGATTCCCCTTTAAACAGTGAGTACGTTTCCCCTTTAAACAGTGAGTACGATTCCCCTTTAAACAGTGAGAACGATTCCCCTTTAAACAGTGAGTACGATTCCCCTTTAAACAGTGAGTACGATTCCCCTTTAAACAGTGAGTACGATTCCCCTTTAAACCATGAGTACGATTCCCCTTTAAACAGTGAGTACGATTCCCCTTTAAACAGTGAGTACGATTCCCCTTTAACCAGGGAGTCCGATTCCCCTTTAACCCAGAATTACGATCCCCCTTTAACCAGTGAGTACGATCCCCGTTACAAAGTGAGCACGATTCCCCTTTAAACAGTGAGTACGTTTCCCCTTTAAACAGTGAGTACGATTCCCCTTTAAACCATGAGTACGATTCCCCTTTAAACAGTGAGTACGATTCCCCGTTACAAAGTGAGCAGGATTCCCCTTTAAACAGTGAGCACGATTCCCCTTTAAACAGTGAGTACGTTTCCCCTTTAAACAGTGAGTACGATTCCCCTTTAAACAGTGAGTACGATTCCCCTTTAAACAGTGAGTACGATTCCCCTTTAAACAGTGAGTACGATTCCCCGTTACAAAGTGAACACGATTCCCCATTAAACAGTGAGTACGTTTCCCCTTTAAACAGTGAGTACGATTTCCCTTTAAACAGTGAGTACGTTTCCCCTTTAAACAGTGAGTACGATTCCCCTTTAAACAGTGAGTACGATTCCCCTTTAAACAGTGAGTCTTAAGTGGTCATATTTTATATTTTTTGCAAGACTTATTTTCGGTATACGTTCATATAAAAACGCGTCTTAAGGTTTGGGTTAATCGAAACTGCACTAAAATTGCACATATGACAAAATATGCAACACATAAGACTTTATAACTTTACAAGTGAACTTGTGAATTAGAATGTTATCTCTTAAATACTAGGTTATAGGACCCGATGTTACCCGGTTGATGATGGTAGGCATTTTGCGAAACTATCAACCTGCTATTCGGAAGTCTCAACAATCCAATTTTCCCATAAATAACTTAAACATGTTTATATGATTTGTATTCACATAAAAAAAAAACTACGACAATATTCCACCCCCTTGAAATCTATATGTAGAAAATAGTTAATCAATCATAATTCCTTATTTTAAAAAGATGTAATGATGTAATGATGTTTACGTTTCTAACATCATTGAGTTTTGAGAAATAAAAAAATAAGTAAAAATTAATGAAGGTTAACATTTTTTTTTAAAAGCCAAAATTTGGAATGGTGTATTATTATTAACAATTTAAAAATCAATTACATTTATTAAATTTATTTTTATTTTTATTTTTTAAATGATAAAACTTTATCAGTTTTCTCACACGTGGTTATTGGCTTATGATCTGCGAGTTTAAATTCAGTGCTCAAAATGTTATTGTTATTTTTTTCTTTCTTTGGCTGCAATCGAATATTTTAATTTGATATTTTTGGAATGTAATAGGCCTACTCTGACGACAAGTTATTGGTAAAAAAAGGGTTATCTTAACTTTCAAATCAAGATAAAATACTAAAATGAGTTCTTTAATTGTTATATTACATGC